ATTTCCAATAACTTTCATGGTTCGATGGTAGCCAACTCGCCCGGTCAACGGGATATTATGCAAATACCTATTATTTTTCTTCAGATTTGCAGTTAAATAATAGCCCAAACATTTCTGACAAAATGCAATATTTGTTGACAAAAAGCATTTTAAATTTCTTGCCTAAAATCAAAAGGAACAAATTAAACTCAGTAGATGAAGTAAAGTTGAAAAACAATTTAAGAATGAGTTATTTTGCTGCATATTCTGCATATTTTTCAAGCTTATAAATGAAAATATAAAAAAGCATACTTAATGAAAATTGTTTTTAATGCCATTCTGAACTTATAATAAAACTAAGTTATTTTATTATCAACATTTGCACTGTTATTCTAAACTTTTGCACTGTTAATATGCCAGACAGTATGTGTTAAGCTATTTTATTATCAACATTTGCACTGTTATTCCAAACTTTTGCATTGTTAATATGCAAGACAGTACGTGTAAAAGAGAAACAAGTAAATGAATAATCTGGAAGCTAATTCATAAGTAATTAATACACAACAATAAATTAATCTAAGACATAATTTGGTTAATCTTTGGATTATGGTAACTTGGCGATTTTTGGCGAAAATTAGGCGACCAGCCCGGCTACAGCAAACTGCAAGTTTGTTTTTGGACGCCATTTTGTTTTCACGAAGAAAAAAAATCTTTTTTTTTAATCAACATTTTTTTCCAACAATCTGCTAGCCAAATTATGCTTATGCTAGAACTTTTAGGCACAAAAAGTGCTTAATCATGACGAAGATTAGGTGCGAAATTGGGAGAAAGTGCAGAATCGCCCACTGCTTGCCGCGTTTTTAAGAATTGCACATACACGGTATCATCCATGTACACGTCGACCTATTTTCACTTATAAAAAAAATCCCAGAATTGCACAAAAATGGCATTGTGCACACTCTTGACTTTACCCATGTACACTGCTAAAGTCCTAGCTAGTAACCTTTATCGCCTTATTAAAATGTCGCCAAACTACCTGTTACCATATTCCAAAGATTAGCCCATAATTTAAGCAATGTTAGTTTTTAAATAACATTAAAGAAGCCTATTTTTTTATGTTTTACTGTTAATAAAATTGTTTTTAAGAGCCTTCGTGATTATATGGTTCGAATACATTTCTTTAAGTGGAAATTAAAGTCCTGTGAGGGCCATCAATGAAAAAATTTAAGGACCTACCAGTAAACAGGACTGAACAAATTAAAGCAATTATCTATGCAAGTGCTTTCTAGCCTGCATTATTATTTTCAGAATAAAGTGAATAAACAACTATGCATCATTATTATTTAATGCAATCTAATATTTATCATAAAACAATATAAAATAATTTAACATAAAAACAATTATTAGTTTAATAAGAAACCAATTTGAGAATAAAACCAACTCCATAAAAGTTTACAATGAATTAACATGAAGTTATAATCATAATCTAGAACACCTTTATAATGGTTTTGCAGCATAAGGAAGGGTTGATCTTTGGATTATGGTAACTTGGCGACCAACTCAGCTACAGCAACCCTTTATATTTTTTTTCCGCCGCCATTTTGTCTTCACTAAGTATAAAGACATGTTTCTTTTCTTTTTATTTACTCAACACTTTTTCCAACAATCTACTAGCCGAATTACACTTATGCTAGAAATTTTACGTAACAAAACTGCTTAATCCTGACAAATATTAACTGAAAAATTGGAAAATGTGCACAATCGCAAACTCCTTGCGCGTTTTTCAGAATAGCACATACACATACACATAAACCATTTACACATCGACTTATCTTTACTTAAAAAAAATCCCAGAATTGTACAAAATTGGCATTACACACACTCTTAACTTTATCCATCTACACTGCTATTTTCATAATCTAGAACACCTTTATAATGGTTTTACAGCATAAGGAAGGGTTGATCTTTGGATTATGGTAACTTGGCGACCAACTCAGCTACAACAACCCTCTATATTTTTTTTCCGCCGCCATTTTGTCTTCACTAAGTATAAAGACATGTTTCTTTTCTTTTTATTTACTCAACACTTTTTCCAACAATCTACTAGCCGAATTACACTTATGCTAGAAATTTTACATAACAAAACTGCTTAATCATGACAAATATTAACTGAAAAATTGGGAAAATGTGCACAATCGCAAACTCCTTGCGCGTTTTTCAGAATAGCACATACACATACACATAAACCATTTACACATCGACTTATTTTTACTTAAAAAAAATCCCAGAATTGTACAAAATTGGCATTGCACACACTCTTAACTTTATCCATCTACACTGCTATTTTCATAATCTAGAACACCTTTATAATGGTTTTACAGCATAAGGAAGGGTTGATCTTTGGATTATGGTAACTTGGCGACCAACTCAGCTACAGCAACCCTCTATATTTTTTTTCCGCCGCCATTTTGTCTTCACTAAGTAAAGACATGTTTCTTTTTTTTTATTTACTCAACACTTTTTTAAACAATCTACTAGCCGAATTACAATTATGGTAGAAATTTTACGTAACAAAACTGCTTAATCATGACAAATATTAACTGAAAAATTGGGAAAATGTGCACAATCGCAAACTCCTTGCGCGTTTTTCAGAATAGCACATACACATAAACCATTTACACATCGACTTATTTTTACTTAAAAAAACATCCCAGAATTGTACAAAATTGGCATTGCACACACCCTTAACTTTATCTATCTACACTACTATTTTCTCATAAATTACAAAAATTTGCATGAAAATGCAGGAAAATTTTCTGAATCTTTAAACTCGGTAAAAAGCACATATATGAAATTACCTGATTGCAAAAAAAGTATATACCCTTTCCAAGGATGAACATTTCCACGTATAAAATAAATAAAATATCCAAAAACTTTTACTTCTAAATTATCTATTATATTATAAACGTCACCAATGAATTTTTACCGCAAACATTTAAATCGTTACAAATACTTAGTGCCAAATATTTAAATTATTTCCATACACGTTTACTTCAGCTGAAACGTATACCAAATTGCTACAAACATAAAATTCACAAAATAACTATCATTTAATTAAAATATCACTAAACTATGTACACGTCGACTTATTTTTACTTAAAAAAATCCCAGAATTGCATAAAAATGGCACTGCGCACACTTTTCACTATATCCATGTACACTGCTTTTTTCTCATAAATTAGAAATATTTCACGAAAATGCATGAAAATACTCAACGTATTCCAAAATACTACAAACATATACTCACAAAATCCCGATCATTAAATTAAAAATATAATTAAATTAAAAAACTACTTAAAATATAAATAAGCACATACATTAAATTAATAAAAATTAGATTACAATCCTAATTACTTTAAACTAAATCATGCTAAAACAATTTTCCATAATACCATATTAATTTATTTGCTCCTTACATTTAGAACAATGCATAAAAAAATCCTCAAATGATAAAAATACTAACTTACCTAATCTTCAGAATCTCTTCATTACATGGCACGCACACTTCCCTACAGAAAGAATTCCAATCGGCTGCAGTACTACTGCTAATTTTTAAATCCGAAATCCAGTAGTCAACTGGCAGTCTATTCACCCAGTAATAAGAAATTAATAAAATTTCACCCATACTCAAACTACTTTCAGCAAACCACGTACCCTTCCTTACACTCCGCTTCACAAAACGTCCATTTCACCAGATTTCTTGCACCGCCATTCAAACTTATCTGTAATATCCTTCCTTTCACACAATCTCAACTTATTATTATCAGGTAAATGCATTAAAAACTTAGAATTCACTTTACATAGCGCCATGCAATCCGAAAATTAATCAACACTATTTCACACAACACACAATGAAGCTTAATACAAAATAATATATTACTACAGATATTTTCCAAATTTTTTACCCCCTTTCCCGATTAAAGAACTGTAATTTGTCCATTAATGTCACATGACATATCTCATGATCTCTCATTTCCCTCACACAAAATAATGCGTAATCGGAACTGAGTACTTCTCACATTATTACCAAAGTCCTAGGTAGTAACTTTTATCGCCTCCAAAATGTCGGCAAACTACCTGTTACCGTATTCCAAAGATCAGCCTAAGGAAGCATGTATAAACAGAAGATCAGTTTTTCGCTTACACAATGGGCACATATGCAGAACAGATCAATGAATGCAACATTTTCTCTAAAGTTATATGTAAAAATCTGTCATTCAACCTAGTTCTGGAAGGAATGAATTTGCCAAAAAATTTCTTACTGCAGTTTTCATTTGCAGATCCAATAAGGCTGTAATTTAATAAACAATATAGAACCTAGAAATTTTTTGACATGCTTTAGATTTATCTTTAATGTTCTAATTTTTTAAAACATATTTAAACCCATTTATTTAATTACAAAAATTTTAGAGCATTCCCCTCTACTGTTAAATAATAACAAATCTGTATGTATGTATGTTCTTCATGTTGTAAAAATGACAAATTTATATTATTAATTAACAAGCTACGCAATAAAACCAGAGCCATTTCCATTATTAATAACTACCAATTTAGATCAATGAAACTACATTAGCTGGATTCATTAAAACCATTATAGATACTTTTCTTTTTTTATAACAACTATTTCAGGTGGCTGACCGTACAAATAGCTAAATATTAAAAATTAAAGTACAAATCCACCGATTTTATTTCGTCAAGCTAAGTAGTCTTTTTATCAGTTTTTTTGGGCAGCAATTACAAATATATTTCAAAATATATGCATTGTTCTTAAAAGTTTTTTCAAATATTCTGCATGCTAATAATCATATTCTGAATCTTAATAACGATATTTTAAACACCAGAGGCCATATAAATATATATTTCACTTTTTTGGAAAAAAATTAATGCACACACTATAAGTATTTTGAGCAAAGTAAATTTATAAATAATATCATAAAAATAAAATACTTAGATCTACATACCTGCATTTCTTTCATTGAATAATTCCAACACTACAAAAGAAGAGGGTGAAATTATACATACATATCTGCGTACAGTTAAACACAAGATAGAGAGAATGAAATTGAGCAAACCTTGAAAATATTTAATTTGAAAGCATTAAAAAGTTACGCCCCAAAACTACAGTGAATAAAAAAGACAGCTTTTGAATTTTTATCAGCTTAATCACGGAAGATTACTTAACACAAAAAAGAGAGAAAAAAAAAAAAGCAATTAAAAACTATACAAGTTCTTGTTCAAATCATTCAGAAATGCAGAAAAATGCAGCAAATTCAGAAATGCAGCTCCAATGATAATTCTGTTGCTTGTTATTTGGAAGAAAAAAACCCAAAAAGAATTATTCACTCATTTTTTAAAATTTGTTTTTAGAAATAATTCTTAATATTTGCTTCCCTCCATTTCCTCGCCGAGCTGATGAAAGTTTAAAAAATTCCTATTTATAAATATATATGTAAATAAGATTTATATGAACAGACAATGAAAGAACTTGTGGTAAATCTTCGGATTATGGTAACTTGGCGATTTTTTGGCGACCAACCCTGCTACAGCAACCTGCTAGTTTTTTTTTTTTTGGACACCATTTTGTTTTCACGAAGTAAAGGCATTTTTTTCCCCTCAACACTTTTTCCAACAATCTGCTAGCCGAATTACGCTTATGCTAGAAACTTTATGGAACAAAAGTGCTTAATCATGACAAAGATTAGGTGTGAAATTGGGAGAAAGTGCAGAATCGCCCAGTGCTTCGTGCATTTTTAAGAATTGCACATACACGGTATCCATATACACGTCGACCTATTTTCACTTAAAAAACATCCCAGAATTGCACAAAAATGGCATTTTGCACACGTTTGACTTTATCCATGTACACATCGACCTATTTTCACTTAACCCGCGGGAAAGTGCGTGGGGTGTATCATACCCCAACCCTACATAAAAGTGGAATATTCTTAACTTGTGAAACGGAAATTCTGCGTTGCTTTCAGTAGCCGAGTTTCTAGTTGTGCTTGACATTCAGAACCACTTTTTCTTTGCCTGTGTGTTTCAGAAAACGATTTATCGGTATTTTGTTGGAACTGGGTTATGACACACCCCACGCGCCTGTCGGCGTAAATGTTTTTCCGACTGAATATTTAGTTCAGAAATTTATTTCTAGAGTGTAACAGTAAATATTTCTACTCGCAAGTGATTTTAAAGTACTTGACATTAAATTCTTTAAAATTTCTAAGTCTTAAAAAGAATGACTCCCTATGAATTGGAGATGCAACGCCTGTGAGATTTATTAGAAATATTTGAAAGCGATGAAGATTGTATTTTGGAAACTAAAGAAACTAGGAATATTTTCTACACTGTTTTGGTTTGAAAAAAGATAAAACATTAATACCTGATGTTCCTAACAAAGGAAAAATTGTTCTTATGCTTTCGACATTATATAACGATCATACTATTGAAGAAAATAAAACATCAGAAATTATATGTTTTTATATGACTAAAGGAGCAGTAGATATGGGGGATGAAATGTCAGCCAATTATTCAATTGCCAGAATAACAAGGAGGTGGCCAATGGTAATTTTATTTCCTTTACTGAATGTTGCTGTAATAAATACTTGAATTATCTTGGCATTACATTCAACTGCTAATCCACCAACCAGAAACAGAAATCTGATTTTGAAGGACTTAATATTACAATTAATGAAAAACGTATTAAACAAAGATCAGAAATTAATTCTTTACCAAGAAACTGACGTACTGCATGCAAAACAAAAGCAGAAGTTTCGACGAAGAATTAAAACGAATACATGAAATTCAAAACAACTATGTATGGAAGATGTGATATATTTTTTTGAAATCGTGCCAAGGACAGAAGGACGTGAATGCAATGTTTAAAATGTGAAAACATCCTGTGCCAAGAACACATGAATGTATTTCGTTCAGAGTGTGAAGAAATAAAATAAGCATTGTGTATTAGAGATGCAATGAAACTTAGAGGCATGATGTTTATTTTTTTATTATTTTCATTTATCTTAATTTTAACTCTAAGATTATTTTGGAAATTAATTTTTTGAAACCCAATTATTATTCATGTATTTATAATACACGAAAACAAGAAAACCAGCTTTAAAACTAAATAAAATTATTTTTATCATATTTTAAATATTGGGGTATGTGATACCCCACGCGCCCGCTCTAGTAACTTTTCTTGGTGCAACTTCCACCGGGTTAAAAAGTCAAAGAGAATTGACAAAAATCCAATTTTACTTTTGTAAAAAGTGCCAAACAAATAAGTGGGCGATTCTGCACTTTAGCAGCGGAATTGTTTCTAAGTGCTTATTAGCTAAAATCCCGATCGGAATTTTCCAGAAAAGATCACATGATATGTCTCATGATATCTCATTTCTCTGAGACAAAATAATCTGTGATTCGAACTGGTTACTTCTCAGATTATTGCTAAAGTCCTACCTAGTAACCTTTATCGCCTTACCAAAATGTCGCCAAACTACCTATTACCATATTCCAAAGATTAGCCAAACTTGTATATAAAACCTTGACTATCCAGAAGCTCAGGAAATACTAAAAGGTAGATACAAAACATTTTAGATAGTTGAACACACACACAATGCAATTAATTCATCGTAGAAACACCAAATAAAGAGAAGAAATTTTTTAACTAAAATTATAAAACAGTCTTTTTTTTTTTTTTTTTTGAACTATCAAAAGCCCATATTAGCTTTATATAAATAAAAAAATAAAATTAGACAAAAAAATAAACCTATGCATTTTTGAAGGTCTTAGAACATACAAAAGTAAAATATCTTAGCTGATTATAAAACCCCTTCAATCATGAAAATTAACTATGATACCATCAACTTATTGGAATTATTCCAGCATAAATTTCAAGAAAATGATCACTTTTTAACTATCTGCTTTCAAATAAAGACTTGTATCAAGCCCGTCACCACATACTTTCTTGATGTCATGATCCTACATTTTTAAAACATTCCAATGAAAGGTAGTTAAAAAATTTCAAACATGTTTCAAAATGCAATGGATAATCACATAAATAGCAGTTTACTAAAACCATTCTTTACAAAAATAAAAATGGCATATCAAGACTTAATTGGGTTTAGATAAAACCAAAGCAAAATCTTTAAATGTTTTGCATTGTCATGCTTTGTTATTAAACTGATTAGTCTTCGCTTGTCAAAAATGGTGGAGATTGAGTTGAAAATGATCAGCATCAAACTTACTAGAGAAAGTAGTTCTCACAATAAACAGATTAAGCACCTGCTGTGAACTTTAATCTGCCATCTGTTCCCCTGCAGTAATATCTCCTCACTTTTCTTTCCAAGAGTATACAGTTTCAAGAATGAAATTTCAGAACAATGATGGATATAATGATTAGGGACGTAATCAACATTTGATAAAGACTAGAAATTATATTTAAATTTAAGATATTACAAACAGGGTGCCATACCATAGTTCTATATGTGCTTTAATATGACTTTAGAAATCATTATAAAATAATTATTTTCTTAATTAAAAAAAATTCACATATATTCTAGGTACTTTAGTTTTCTAGTTAGATGAATACCAGCGAGTCAGCCTTTATTGTATATAGCTTAGAGCTTTGTATCAACTACAGAAAGAGGTTGATATAAAGTTTGATGACACAGATCATAAAATATCTTCAACTTCCTTAATTTTCTACTTTTGACAATTAAAATTTACTGATTTGCATTACATCATTTAATTCCTAGATTTAAAATTTAACTATCTTCTGTGATTAGCAAAAAAAACTAATTTATAACTAAATAATATATTTTACTTCTTGCAGGATATGTATTACTTCTAGCTTACTAATAGATAATCGTTATATTTACTATTGCATTATTATTAATTACTGTTTTATTCGGCTCTAGTGTAGAATTGTGTGCCCCTTCGATTAGCAACAATTTTTTGGGATGAAACCTCACTTCTGGTTACCATGATAGTTTTAACTCTGTTTTAGCTTCCTGATTTTATTGAAATGAAAATTAATTTATGTGTACATGGACAAATTTAAGGCAGTGTGCAACGCCTAGTTTGTGCAATTCTAGGATTTTTTTTAAAAGTGAAAACAGATCGATGTGTACATAGACACAGAGTTTGTGCAATTCTTTGACCTCTTATTTTGGTTTTGTGTAGCGACCATCAAGAAATTGTTAACTTCCTGGTGCTGATCTTGGCATCAAAAAAAGAATCTCCAAAAAACAAGGGGCACCCAATTGTAAACTTTTACCTTTTATTCTAAGTAATTTGAATATTTAACCATTTAACTGTTTGTTTTTTGTAACCAGTTAGGTCAAAAAATATCACTTTTTTAAATTAAAGTTTAATTTAAAGTCTGGCTTCAGCAGAAGTTAATTTCAGTTTAAATGTCCTCAACTATTAAATTTAAGCATTAAGAGAAACTTTGAGGAAATTTCTAAGAATTTTATTACTTAAAATTTACATGTTCATAACCATATGGCTACATAAATAATTATATATATATATATATATATATTAATTAGATTAGGTAGATAGCTGTAATACTTTGGAGAAGTTTAACACAGACAGAATGATTATGCAAAAAAATGCAGCTCTGGAGAACTAACTGAGACACATATTCTTATTTACACATCATCATGGGCACAATATGCACCCCAGTTTTTAGAAGCTTGCATCTCTTCTCACAATGGACAATGCAGAGAAGCAAGTGGTACAAAAATACATTCTAAAAGGAGACAAAATCAGTAAATAACAAAAATTGTCACTATTAGCTATTTTAATATGCAATTTCACAAATTTATTAAGAAGAAAGGAGTTTATATTATTAACTCATTAAGTTTAAATTTTATATTTGAAAAGAGTTAAAACATAAGTTTGATTTTATTCAGGCTAATTATATAAAAGCACAGTACTAAACTCAGTTGAATATAAAATACTTTTCACAAGTAAGATTCATACATTTTAAACAAAACATTTTAGCACAAAATGTGAAACGTAAGATCATTGCGAAGACATGTCGTTTTTTACACATTAAAAACAGAAAAATTAAAGTAGAGAAAACTTATCAATGAAAATCGGTTTTTAAAATATGCATGTCATGGAACAAACCATTGAATACTGATGAACCTTCCGACAAGCAATTCTGATTTAAGCAGCCTTCAACAACAGATTAACAAGACAATATTCTTGTCCATTACAGTTTTTATTGAAAAAAATTCAGAACATATTGGCTAAAAGTGTACTGAATGACAACAAAAAAATACTAAATTTTAATTCTAAAATAATATTTATTAAAATCACTGTTATATGGTTTCTTTGTCAATCAGACAAATTTCCGGTTTACAAAAGTACACGCTATTAAATCAAACTTGGTACAGGTCCTAATATTGCCAAATTTGGTTCAGAAAAAAACAAGTTTCAGCTGCTTTCGTCTACCGACTGGTGTCCAGCCAGTGAACTCTGGTCTTTGGTTGATTCAAAATTGCTACTATTAAATTCAGCTGATTATATTTTAAGAACAAATTATTTAATTTATTTTGATAATGATAAGAGGTAATAAGTTATTGAACTGCGTTGATTTACTGAAAGGTTAAAATCCGAGTCTCAAATTTAAAATTGTTTTCAGATACTATTAATATAATATAATCTTAGCACCGATAATCTACTGATGATATTTTTAAAATTTTTATTTTTTTTAAATAATCTATTTATATTTTGCAACATTTTTCATGATCAGTTTTTAATTTCTTTTGCAGGCAATTTTTAACAGTGCGGGTGGAGGTGGTCACATTTGTTTGGTTGTGTTGTACTCGTTGACGGCTTTTGCGGATCATTGAATATACCGGTAACTTTTAATTTTCTTTAAAGAGTGCAATCATTGTATGTCATTTACCGTTAAATCATAATATAACTTCCTATTTCTTGAGGTTCGGAAGTGTTTTTATTCAAAATTTTATGAATCCTTTTTTTTCATTGTAAGGTTTAGTTTATTTATTTTCGCTGACTTAACATTTCGAAATCTACTATAATGTTAACACATTATATATTTTAATATCATACGGTATAGTGCTGTTTACAGGGCAGTCAAACTTATCCGAAAGGAATACACTTAGACAAAAATCATGATCTCAAATAAAATTTGTAGCATAAAACGTCTAGTACAAAATTAGTAATGTTAATTTGTCTTCAAATTTTGCCTTTTCTTGCTTTGAAATTACTGACCATAGTGATACTGTTTTCAGCATGATCGTTTTAATTTACGCCAGCATGCTACTTATCTTTTTGGTGAATTTATCTTTCTCTCCCATCTTTTTAGTTATCTGTATTATTTAATATAAGCAAGTAATATTAGGGGTGTATATCTGAGCTACATTTTGACTGAGAGTATAGCAGATGATGGAATTTAAATTATATCCAAATGAGTAAACAGATGCAGCTGGGTAAATCACTGCACTTGTGAAATGATACTCTCTTTTCATTGATTCATTAAGTTTATTACTTAAGCTTATTGCTAAAGGTACCTCTCTGCTTCGGTTGGTATTTGAAGCTGTGTAAGGGGCTTATGTCATTCTTGACCTCTGAATGTTTATCTGTTGTTTGAGCTAGGCAAGTTAGATCTGCATCAGAAGCTAATTAAAAACTGCTTGTATATTGAAAGGAAGTCTCGGTTGATCTTTACATTATGGTAAGGCGAAAATTTGGCAACCAACTCTCCTACAGCAACCCTCTATTTTTTTTCCCCCGCCGCCATTTTGTCTTCACGAAGTAAAGACATGTTTCTTTTCTTTTTATCTACTGAACACTTCTTCCAACAATCTACTAGCCGAATTACACTTATGCTAGAAATTTTATCAAACAAAACTGCTTAATCATGACAAATATTCACTGCAAAATTGGGAAAAAGTGCACAATACCATACTCCTTACGCGTTTTTCAAAATAACACATACACATAAACCATGTACACGCCGACTTATTTTTACTTAAAAAAACATCCCAGAATTGCACAAAAATGGCATTGCGCACACTCTTCACTATATCCATGTACACTGCTTTTTTCTCATAAATTAGAAAAATTTCACGAAAATACATGACAATTTTCTCAATCTTTAAACCCGGTAAAAAGAACATATATGAAATTACCTGATCGCGAAAAAGTATTTACCCTTTACCAAATATGAACATTTCCACATATAAAATAAATAAAATATCCAAAAACTTTTACCTCTAAATCATCTATTACATTATACACGTCACCAACGAATTCATACCGCAAGCATTACAAATACTTAGTATCAAATATTTAAATTATTTCCATGCACGTTTACTTCAACTAAAACGTATACCAAATTCCTACAAACATAAAATTCACAAAATAACTATCATTTCATTAAAATATAATTAAATTCAAAAACACTACTTAAAATATAAATGAGCACATACATTAAATTAATAAAAATTACCTTACAATCCTAATTACTTTAAACTAAATCATTGCTAATAACAATTTTCCCAATAATACCAAATTCCTTTCCACCTTACATTTAGAACAATGCATAAAAATAATATCCTCAAATAATTAAAAATACTAACTTACCTAATCTTCTTCAGAATCTTGATTACGTGGCAGATACACTTTTCTAATTCATTCAATAAAATTATTGAAAGATTTTTTTTCTGCGAATTTTTCCTCCATACTTCCTCCGCTAAATAAAAAGCAAACTTCTCTTTATCACAATGCCTAAATACCCATTTCGAATTCACTTTAGTTAGGGCCATGGGATCCAAAAATTAACCAACACTGTTTCACACAACACAGAATAAAGCTAAATACAAAATTTCCAGATTTTTTCCCGATTTCCCCCCTTTTCCGATTAAAGAACCGTAATTCGTCCATTAATATCACATGACATATCCCATGATCTCTCATTTCCCTCACGCAAAATAATGCGTAATCGGAACTGAGTACTGCTCACATTATTACCAAAGTCCCAGGTAGTAACCTTTATCGCCTCCAAAATGTCGCCAAACTACCAGTTACCATATTGTAAAGATCAACCGAAGTCTCTGTAAATTTCTTATCTATCTTCTTCAGGTTGGGTCTCTCAGTTATCAGACACCTCTGCTAAATAGCATTCTGTGCCAAATGCACCAAACTCACTGCTTCCTAGCTTCATTTTTTTGGATCGTCCACTTTGTTAATAAAGTCTGACAGCCACTTAATAGCACTCAGGTATAATTCTTTAGTATTGAGAATACCTAAAGTAGTAAAGCGGATGAGGGCAAGGGCATCACACTCATATATAATATGGCATGCTGTTTTCTCGTTCTGTTACATCATTTTCTGCATGTAGGGCTTTGTTGAAAAAGTTTCATAGTATGAAGGTGTTTTTTGAAATAGTAATGCTCCATGATGAACTCGATAATTATTTGTATCTTCAGTTTTGTAACTTCAGTTTCAGTTTTGTTTTCCTAAGAATTTCAGAGGCAGTCTCAGCAGGTCTGATAATCACACTTTTTGCATGTTTTTGTCCAGAAGAATCAAACCAAACTTTATTCATTTCCTATTTTTCCCATTTAAGGAAAATACTCTTTGCAGTCTTCATATTCATACCACAAAATTTTTCCACACCTGTTGGATTAAAAGACGATTCCTGTTTTGCAAGTTTATCTGCCTTTTCATTACTTCAGTTCCCTTATGTCCTGGCACCCAGATTAGGATTACCTAGTTTCTGGTTGCCACTTCTCTTAGAAGGTTTTTGCATTCCAAAACAATCTTTGATTTAATTTAAAATTAGTATAAAGCTTTTGAAGCTGCTTGACTGTCACTGGAAATGAGAATGTATTTACCATGATAATCTTTTCTTATATTTATTTTTATATCTATTTATTTTTATTATATATTTATAATTATGTATTATTATCTGTTTATTATTATTTATGGTTAAAGTAGACTTTAACACTAGAAGTGCCGGAGCAGTCATTTTGACTTCTTTCGTCATTTGACCTTGGATTCCTTAAAAACCCTTTATCTTAAGAAGTCAAAAATTTTGGTATTTTCCTAAAATATGTCGAAAATTATTGGTGCCAAATATAAATCGAATGAAATTAAAATTAACGGAGATATTATTAGTTGTACCTAAAAGCGCCACGAACAGTCTTAATGACTGCTAGTAATACTGGGTAGATTTATATGGTATTCTCGCTCAAAAAATATTTTTCTTGGGAAAAACAACTGCTGTACATATACATTCCTTTCATTCACTGATTATTTACAGAAGGAATTACATTATTTTACACAAGAATTACATGTCTCGCAATCGTTTTCGAGACATTATGAAATATCTAAGATTTAACTTGAAGTCAACTAGGACTCAGCGTTTAGAAAGTGATAAGTTTGCACTTTTTTCCTATATTTGGAATAAATTTATACAGAACTGTGCGATTTCCTATAAACCAGGAGAAAATCTAGTTGTGGATGAGCAGTTATTTCCATCCAAAGCCAAGTGTAAGTTTATACAGTATATGCCGGATAAATTCGGTATCAAATTTTGGATGTTGGTCGATGTAGACTCGAAGTATATGTGCAATGCTTTTCCATATCTTGGAAAAAATACATCGAGAAGTGAAACTGAAAGTCTTCCTGAAAATGTAGTAATGCGTCTTCTAAGCCATTATCTGAATTCAGGTCGAAATTTGACAACGAACAATTATTTTTCCTCACTATCATTAGCTAGAAAACTTAAAATGAAAAACACAAGTTTTGTCGGCACAGTAAGACATCAACAAGAAATTCCGCATGAAGTAAGGAAATCAAAAACACGGCTATATTTGAAACAGTTTTGCTAAAGAATGGTGAAAATACGCTTGCTGTCTATCAGGGAAAAAGGAATAAAAATGTCCTACTACTAAGTACCTTACATCCAAGTGTAAAAGCTCTCTTTTGCAGTCGCGCAGAGATGATATTCTTATTGCGCATGCATAGACTCTCCTAGATGTCCATGAAACTGTAATAACAACTGGAGATCAAAATTGTGAATAAAAATTATAATTTTTGCATTTTTTCCTCCAACTCCTATATAAGTATTTATGTTTATAAAATAAAAGTGGTAGCTGTTGTTTTTTATAATGTCCTTAAACTCTGTTACTGTCATGCATATGAGGTATGATTTTAAACGTTACTGACATTTTTGTAATGGTGAGCTTTGAAAAACATGCTGTTCCTTAACTTTGGAGCCCACAAGCGGCCGAGCAGTAAAGTCGCTGAACACTGGTAGTTCGGTCCGAGGTTCGAATCCTGCGAACGGGCTGGCTGCATGGGTGTTTTCGTGGCTTTCCCCATGTGTAATGTGTATACGAGCCAGTTTCCCTTCGAAAGTCCTCCACGAAGGCATCCCTCCCCTTAGGCAGATAGCCCTAGTGTGCTTTGCTATAGTTTAAATACACACACCACACCTTAACTTTTGGAGGGCAGTATAGATAGCTTGTCCTTGGAAATGTATACAGTCAAAAGTCGTTAATCTGGATTCTTCGGGACTTCGGCGATTCCGGATTATCGATTTTTCTGGATTATAGATCATCAGTTTAAATCTGGTAAGATGGCATGCAGAAATTATAAAATTAAAAATATGAAACCATAATTTATGAAATAAAGAACAATTATGATCTAAAGGGTATCAAAATTTACAAAAAAAAAAAAAGCTTAATATTTATTTGTTTACTTTATTAAACATTTCTTTCAATGTAAGTTGTTTAAGTTGCTTCGTTTTTTATGTGATAATACATTCTCTTTAATTCTATAAACAGACATAATTTCTTGTTCAGTTGCAAAGTTCCGCTGTTCAAG